GCTTGTGAAGTATTAGTGTGTTGTTTTGTTTTTTTTTTTTTTTGGGGGGGGGGGGGAGTAAAGCATGTCAGTTCCAAAAGACTTAACTTTTTTTTTTAATCATTTTTTATTCTTCATAAAAAAATTTTACTGCAATAAGTCTGACTTACACTGGCAGGCCAAATTGGGCTAAATCTACAGTTATGCATTTGAACAAAGATGATACAGCTAGGTTACTGCAAAACTTGCATATGTTTGCTATGAAAATAACTACAATCGTTTAGAACTATAATATGAAATTTAATGCTATAGGTTTTTATTAGGTTAGACAAATCAAAACCAAGATGGATAAAATCCAGCTACTTCAAAAATTAAGGTCCTGTAGAAAATAGGGGGTTATAGCAGTCATGTAAAATGGGTAAGTTTTATGTTTTCTATCAAAGCTTTTAAGAACAGCAACACCCTGAAGTAAAACGGGATCAGTTCTGCTCACAGATTTATGTGCATTTTGGCAATAATTAAAAATTTTTGTTAAAAAGCATGTAAAACTCCTGTGGTGATCCCTTCCTCCCCCTCCCCCAAATCTATCAGTGCTTCAGTAATAATCCAAGCCCTAAATACTTCATAAATATATCTGAACACCTGTTTTTGGTCAAAGTATTATTTTGCATTAAAAACAAGGATGTTTTCCTCATACAAAAAAAAATTTGGAGGGAAGCACCCCCACCCCCCCAAGACAGACTGATTCTCTTAAAATGTTAATTATAAAAGTGATCAAAGGACAGCCAGAGACTCATCAAGTTACAGTTTCAAAAATCCTAACTTCCTCTCACAAACATTTGCACTGTAATTGTTAAATCCTGCACTGCTCCTGCTTTGTTTCCTCTCCCATTCTCTCTCTTTCTCCAAGTCTAGTTCCAGCTGAAGCACATCTTATTTTCCCAAACTTTTCTCATTTTTTCCAACCCTGCTCTGCAATTCACTTATTTCTCCGTTTGTGCCACTGTAATATTTTGTGGGAAGAGAATGTAAAATGGATTTCAGAAACAAGCCAGACTAAAGGAGGCAGAGAAGGGAAAGGAGGTGGTTTTGTTTTGTGTCTTTGTTCACCTGCATCAGCTCACTAATGCAGTTCTGCAGAACACCGCTGCAGACAGATGCACAGTCACAACGCAGAAACGGATTTCCCGGCACAATGGAGGGAGCAGTAAGTTATTGCACAAGGGAACAGGGGGATGTGCAAACCTCTTAAACCAATTTTGCCACCAGATAAAACATAATATTGAACTACATCCTCTTATCATTAAGGTAAGGGACTTCTAGTGAAATATATTTATGCTTGTCCAGCAGAACTTGGCAAACGCAACCTAGTGAAAGCGGCATGGAATAACAGAGAAATGACAGTATACTATTTAAATGGAAGTACCTGTTAGGAGAATTTTACATAAGAGACAAACCCATGAACAAGTTACCTTCTCAGTGATACCCATTTCTGTACTGCAGAAGATCCATTCAGGGCCTAACCATCACAGACAGACTGAGTAAACTTACCTCATTTTAGTAATACCCATACTGCAAAATAGCTCAAAAACAAAGTGGAACATATATAATCATAAGCGCTGCTGATAAACAAGGTGGCAGGTTACATTATCTGTGTGTGCGTTGTGTAGGAGGAGTGGGAGGAAGAAATTGATTATTTACTGTAAATGTGAACAAATTAGAAGAGCAACCAAAAACAAAAAAAAAAGCATTTGATAAAAGTGATCCTAAGCAACACATAGTGAAACTAATCTGAAATGGGAATAAGGCCTTCAAGGTTTTTTTTTTTTTTGCCTTTCATTTCTAAAGAAGTCGATCATAAAATATAATATTTCTATGATCTTCTCCTATCTAGATAGTCCCAGGTTTGGTACTCATAATAGTACTAGTATTTTGTGCATCTGGCCTTGAACCAGCCATTACATGTCTTGCTGTTTTTGCATCCAACTATCTTTGCTGAAAATACAACTTCAGCCTTGTACATGCAGTACAAGAAAAATGCACAAATACTGCAGAACTGCCAGCTCTCT